ACGCCAAATTCAACCTTTGTGTAAGTAGGAATGACTCCAAACCAGTTTTAAGAGTCATTCTTTATTACCAGAATTAATGGAATTGAATTTGGCTCTCTTTGCATGTGCCATTTGGAATAGTTTATTTTTCACATGAGGTTTGGCAGGGATTTCTCCAAAATAATTTCCCCTGAAACTTACCCCCAAAAGCCAGCCTGTAAATTTCAAAATCCCTGTTTAGTTTGAACGGCTCTTTAGAATACATCCCGATCTGAAACCTTCATTATACAGAGACAAGAAGTGACCATAAAAAGTCCTTGATTGGTAAGTTAATCATACATCCGAATAAAATGTTCTGCATACTATCTTAATTAGTATTTTAATAACATATACACAAATACTTTCAATCCATGGTTTTCAAAGCAGCTGTACTTTGAGTACATGAATCTATATATTTAATTCAATGTTTTCTACTATTAGTATGTGGGCTCAGAAAGTCTGGAATTCACAGCAGTTTCTGCTATATGGTTTCACATAGTACATAAAATTGTCAGCTTCTCCCATTGCGCTAGAAGACAGGAATGTTATTATTCTAGAAGCTGGAATTCTGGTTTCTAACCATGATCCAACACAAACGTCTGTGCGTTTTGGGAACCTAACCTATTTGAAATGCAACATCCTGAACCTGGAATTAATTGATCATGAAAAGTATAAACAGCTCCTTATTCATCCTGAAGCAAGTGTAGAACCCTTTGACACATTATGGAAAAATAATGCAGTTCTTAACCCTCCTTTTTTTGTTCTGGTTGATTTTTAGGCTTGGATCCCTGCCAGGCACACAATAAAGTACTTGGCCTTTAACACAGACAGGCATGATTCTTCTTTCATACTCTGAACTGGGAACTGACAAAACTCAGTACATTACAGGTTTGTTTCAACAGAAATGTTCACAGCTAGTACCCAGAGACAGCTTTTCTTATATCTTTAGGTTATTTATCAGCTTGCAAATCTGATCTGCAAATAAGGAAATAGCTTTTAGAACCAGTTAACACGAAGTTTTGTACAGTGAAGCTGATGTGATCACTAACAGGTGAAGAACTATTTGCAACGTGGCTGGTGTTACACACAGTCCTTGAACATACATTAAAAAGATAAAGTTTCAAGGATTTACTGCCACCCTGAAGGAAAGAATTGATGTTTTAAGTAACTGGATTTGTAAAAAGTGTGTAAGACAATCCAAGTAAATCCTCAAATAAATTATTAATTCCTCGTTATTTAAATGCCCTTAAATACAAGTGCAGATGCTAACTTCACAGGTTTGTCTTGACAGCTCCTTTGCTATTTCGCATGATCTGGTATCAGTCTTTGACTATAAAGCCCTGAAAAGATGTGCCTCACGAAAAAGTCCTCCAGCTCCTAAGGAGACTAAGTTCTTGCAGCTTAGTGTTTACATGGTTCTCTCAGGGTCTGAGTGACACTGCAGTATATGATAATAGTATATAAACATATTATGCCTCTTTCCATAAACCTGGATTACATTTGTATAGGATAAGTTCATGAGCGCTTTCACTAGCTCATGTCCAACTAAGACATGAGTAGGTATGCACATGCCTAAACTCTGTCTTGAGCAGAGACTTCCTGATATACCCTAGGTGTCAGAATTTCAGGGTAATCTCACATTACACTGACAACAACAGGCATTCATTTTCCTACACAATATCTATACTTATCATCAGCCTGTCCTTTGGTTAACTAGCTGAGGTTTACTTTAAGCCTTGTGATCCACCCTATAGCATTTGGCTTATCATCTATCCTAGCTATAAACATAAAAGGGGGTTGGCAGGGGTGGGGATGAGTCCAAAGGACGCAAACCTCAACAACAAACCAAAGCACAAAGGAACTGGAAAATTTCAAAGGGTCTGGCTCTCTAGCACAGACAGTGCTATATACATGTGTCTGTTTATGGAGACACACTAAACTGAATTATTCAGTTACTTACAAAAAGAAAAAGAACAGACTGTGGGGAAGGGAGAGCAGAATGAAGGCGCAAGAGAGCAAAAAATGCATCCTGCAACAGATGAGAAGAACAGAGGAAAACTGGAAAATGGATGCGGGGGGGGGTGGGGGGTGGGGTGGGTGGGAAATGGATGATGAGAGAATAGCAGGCCTATTTAAAATGAATTTTTGACCTTATTTTTAAAACATTTATGGATCCCAATTGCCTGTCATGAGATCATTTTCCCCTACAATGCCAGCTTTTCAGCCGGCTCTGCACTTTAACTTGATTTATCCCACTTTCAAAAAAAAGTAGATTGTTAGAAATACCCCTTCTATTAGAAATTCTGCCCCACTACAGTGTCAGCTAAAGGCCACTTGTCAATGTCAGCTTTATCAGATAGAAATTTGCCTCATAGGTTCTCAGATACTTTTTGGGGAGGACAAGACCCAGGGTCCGTTTCTGAAGCTGTTGATTTGTGATGGGATTGTGTCTTCTCAAATTATCCTCTGTTATTTCCCAACTTATCTGCATGTTTCATGAGATGGTGGGAAGTGATTACAGCAGCTGCTGTACATTAGAAAGATATCTTATAGGAAAGCTGACTTAGGTAAAACAGCTGACTGACAAAAGCACAGAAAGAACTAACAGAGTATTAAAAAAAATAGGGAGATCTCCTTTCCAGCTGCAGCTTCCCTTGTGCCGTAACCTCTTGTGGGAAAGAAGAAAACTTATACCAGAAGGTTTTCCTCTTCCTCAGCTGCCTGTCTTTAAAGAAAGACCCGACATCCTGAAGATGAGTTTTTATTTATTTATAATTATGCAATTAGTCATCAGCATGCCTCTTCACTGATGAGCAAAGGTGGAAAACATCATCTGTTGTTCAATCTGCGTTAGCACAGTACTGCTGAGGGTCAGCAGTCTGAGGTGGGAAAGGTGACATTGCTTAAGGACTCTCCTGGCAAGATTCTTTGAGACATTTGTTTTCTTGTTAACATTTTTGATTCTATAGTTGTTCCATTTTTTTCTGTCTGGACTGACGTAACGTAGGTATTTTACAGGTAAAACTACATGTAAGAGTAGAAATTTCAGCCAGGAGTCCAAAGGGAGCAAGCTGTGGCCACAGTATTTTCCAGACTGAAAGACAGTGCTTATGAAAGCAAGGCTGGATGGATCAACGGATGATATTGTTGCAGTGAAGAGACCGGAACTCTTTGAAATTTGTAAACCACTTCAACAAGAGGAAACCGTTGCAGCAACAAACTTCAGAGTATTAAAGCCCTTAAGGTAAACTCTGATTTTTAATCAGACTGCCATTCCTCACAACAGAGACATTTAAAATATTCTGCATTGGAAGGACAAAAAGAAAAACCCTGGTGCCACTATTATGAATCAGTTCAAGATTGAGATACTTAAAGCTCCCTTTCAGGTGCTCTGATCAAGGACAACTTGCCTCACAGGAAAAGCAAAGCTTTGGAAATCAGTAATCTCTGGGCATTATACCTAATAGGAAAGGCTTAGAAAGGATTACCTAGAAGAAACCTTTGTGAATCTCAGGAAACTACACTGGACCATAAATCTCAACCTCCTCTGAGGATTAATAAAGCTTTATCAGTTTCAGATAAGAAGCAGAAAACCTCAGGCTGCTGAAGAGGTACCACTGGCCCAGTCTGGGGCTTCTGTCAGGCTTATCACACCATACATTTCAACAGAAAGACACATCTGATGCAAATTCTAATTTTAGTTTACAAAAGCTATTCAGAAGAAGAATGGCAACTACGCATATTCCCAAATTTGGGTCACAAAATATAAGGCAGTAGATAAAAGTTAACTGCTTTAAGGAAAGAATTATTTTGCTGAAGGCAGTGCTTTCAGCAACTGGGTAAGAATAATATATACAGCAACATTTGAGGGGTTAATGAACAAACACGTAGGATAACTTATGTAAAACCACCCTTTTTACTAACCTCTCCGTGACTGCAATAGTCTAGTCTCACACATGACTTTTTTGGACTACAATCCCAATGCTTGAAGGTTTCACTTCAGCATTCACACTGATAGTTTGGAGGACAAACTAACTATTCTGTGATCCTATGATGTTAAAACCACGGTTAGTTCAAGCTTCAGGTGTATGTAGATTCTTAAGATTTTAACATAATTCTGTCTCTTTTTAAACTAAAATTTTAAATTTAGCATAAATTGCATCTTATCAAAGTTACATTTGTGAATGCTGGTTGATTATAATTACTTTTAAAGAGACAGAGTCCAACTCTGAAACCTGCTCAGGTGGAGCTCTTGAGTACTGCAGTTGTGATCCCACAGACTATAGCTGTTGCATTTATTTAAAACATTCAAAAATCCAGCATTGTTGATTTAATCTCTGGTTCTACCACAGAACCTTTGGTAGTGGGGTAGATAATACATCATTGTGTGGTGTGAAACAGGGAATACAGCATGTCTGTAACAGCTCTATAGTATAGGCGTAATATTTTAACTTCTTTTGGTGGGAGAGGAGCAAATTATTCCATGTTTTGGTTACTTATTTCAGTTACTGAGGATGTATTGTGGCCAGACTGCTACTGTCCAGTGTGCAGAAAGAAAGGCAGGAGCAGACATGCCTCGGTTTCCTCCCTCTCACTTTGCAGATAAGCACAGTGAGAGTCTGCTCTTCTAACGCTCTTTTAACCCAGGGAACCACTGGATGAACTGCCAGAGTGCCATAAATCCTGCTGAAAAGCCTTGATTCTACCACTTGACAACATCTGGCAGCGACTTCATACCTTAGGCCTAAAGAGAGGAAACCTGGGCCTAAATCAAACACGGTGAGCAGACAAGTTATTTTTAGCCAGCTTTTCATGTTATTCATATTTTCTTTGGTGGGCTGGCATTAAGGATTTCCCTATTTCTACAACCCCCGAAATTCATGTTAAGATGACAACAGTATTTTTGGAAATCACAGGCAAATCAGCACCTTCTGCTAATCCTGAACCCTGCAAAAGCATTTTGCATCACAATGTGGACCTACCCAACGCTGGTCGTAATCAGAGGGTTGCGTTCTTCCTTCGTCATCCTCATAGAAAGGCAAGCCTTCCCGCCTGGCCTGGTGGTACTCCTTCCGTAACTTCTGGATACGATCAGCATTCCCACCACCTGTGCAGCCACTGAGAGAAAATAAAAATGCTAAATACAACTCAGATGTACGCACGTATCTAACACCAGGCACCCATATGAACACACACACAGAGTTGCCTCACCTGGGACAAATGGGCTATGAATATTTGATAGTCCTGACTTGCACAGTGCCTGCTGGCCCACATCACCCTTATCTTTGCTTTCTTGTATTAATAAAGCTGCTAATTGTGAACTTGAGCCCCATTTTTTAAAAAGCTGTCCCTGTCCAAAGAACTTAACAATTCCAGTGCAAGACAAGAGACAACAGATGGATGCAGACAGATGGGGGAGCACAAGGAAACTTTTAACATTCCTATGAGCAGCTATAAATGGCTATCATATTTTAATAATAATGATGATGATGATGATAAGCTGCCAAAAAAATGTTTCCTTTTGCTCCCACGCTAAATGTGGAATTCCCCTAAAATTACATTTGTTCAAGGTAAAGAATACACTATATTCACAGAGACGCATAAAAAGAAGTTTTACCTTACAAAAACAATCTTCCTCCCAATTAAATGAAGAACTAAAACATCAGCCATGAAAATACAGGGGAGACAAGAGAGATGGGAAAGCACACTACCAAACCTTGACACCATTTTTTAAAGTGGTAATTAAACAGTAATCCACTTAGTAGTCCACAAAGACTCCTTGTATGCTGAACTGCACACACTGCAAACTGCCACGGTTATGCTAGTGGAGTTACTTAGTTTATCAAGTTAAATACATATCTGTCTTTGCAAATTTTGACCCTGGTGAGCCTTCTAAAACCTTACAGCTGGACTTGCACAACTGTGGAAGCTGAAGCTATACATGGAAAGATTAAAAAAAGAATCATGAAAATAACTAAGAATAAAAAAAAATACAGCCACATTTAAAATTAATAAATTAAAAGTTTCCTGCAGCTATTTCAGCCCTGCTATAGTCAGCATTGGGGTGAATACTGACTGTACGGCTCAGTAGCATTTACTGGCATTCACAGGGAATTGTCATACAACTTATTTGTGGCCATTCCTAAACTCAGACAAATGTTATTGCAGAACATCATCATATATTCTCTTAATCTGCAACCTTAACTCTGCCTCATCAACAGTGGGCTAGAGAAGTACAGATTTATTCATATGAGCACAGACACTGTGGTGCAGCTTGTCACACTCCCCTCCAACACAGGTATGCCAGAATATGGGGAAGCATTTAATAGGATTTGCATAGAGAAATGAATTTGGAAAACACATACAAAAGATTGGACATAGACCTAATAGGTCAATAAGAAGTACTTTTTAGCATCTAATACCAATCTAGATTAGTTGGAAATTAACTAGAAATGAAGGGAAATTCCATGTAGAGTGCAAATGCAACTGAATATGCAGTCAGGATTGGAAATGTTTACTTGCGGTATCAGTATGTTTCCATGAAAAATCAAACACTTAAATCACTTGCCTTCCCTGGATCCTAAATTATCCAGCCCCTCTACTCTTACGAAGTCCCAGAGGTTTCAGGCTTTTCTGGCTGACTTACTGAACTCTTCCAGAGCATACACGATTTTTCTCATGATCTGCCAAGGCAGTGCAGAAAGCTTGCATAAACACTGTGGACTGTTAAGGGGAAAAAAGTACATTCCCTTTTCCCCTTGATTCCTTCCACAGATAAATACCCTCCTTCCTTGCATGAATTCTTGTCAAACAGGGGAGAACCATTTCCAGTTTGCAAAACACTAGAATTGAGAACTAGCTAATAGGGGCTATCAGTTAGAACAGTGAAGCTTGGTCCATGAGCAACACACCACCTGTGAAATCCCCTGACTTTAGTTGTGAGTACAGATAAAGAGTCTAATTAGGGCTGCTAACATACAGATAAGGTCCAAAGTGTTGTCCCTGTTGCTTTGCAAACATCATTACGCAAAGCAGCACTAGCTAAGAGAGGAAAATGCGGAAATACAGGCAACAGGTCTGGATTGATTCCAGCCCATCTGGCTCCCTGCAGTTCTCTGCAAACTGTCTTAGTGCCTGTCACCAGTGCCCTAATGGCCACACACCCAATTTCCATCTCCAGGTATTCTGGCTGAAGAAGTAATCTGAAAGTACTGTATTTTTTCCCCCCTTTTTGTAAACGGAAGCTGATATCGATGCATCATAAAACCTCAATGCATCAATGCACCAAGAGCAGCCTGTGCTCCGTTTAATGGAGCTCTCCCGTAGGTGAACTTCCTTCTGCTTAAACCCATCTAGCCAGCAAGTGGAAGAAGGTGTTGCAGAGAACAAGATTATTATACATATTAAAAGACTGGGACTGACAGCATTTTCTTTAGCAAACCTCTGCCAGGCCGTATTAAAATACAAATCCTAACCATGAGAATGAGTAGGAACGTTTGAATGAAAGATAGCAGCACATGGGAAGCTATCCATCTGGATTAGTGTGAAAACACAAGCATAATCTCTGTGGAAACAAGCAGCTCCGTGAAGTCTGATTTCCTGCGCTTCTCTCCTGTGGGTTCTCTGGTGTCCGATTAGGGACTGAGTTCACACTGCAGTGTTTCTCTCAAGCAAGGGCATTTGCCTGGGCGTCTCTAGCAGACTGCTTATTTTCATGAAATTTAGGGATCCAGTATCTTTGGAACATTGAATTGCCTGTCAAGTCTGGTCAAAACCAGCCAGCAGGTTCTGAATTTTAAGAAAGGTGGGGAGAACAGGTTGAAAGAGGGTCAGTCAGTGCATCACCTTCATTTCTTCAGGGAACAGTTAGAGCTTCACAGCTCTTTTATCTTTCTTTTTCCCCTCCATCACTGTTTATAGGCACAAATGTAAAAGACATTGGCTTTTGAAAGCTGCATTCTAGCTTACCATGAAAGTTTTACCCACTCCTGAGTAACACAAGATGAATACGATGCCCTGTGCAATGCTCATGAAACAGTTCTGAATTTCAAGTTGGCTCCTGACAATTCTGTGAATATATGAACCACATTCAAACTCACCAGATGAATTCAATCAGCACTGTGCAAATATCGCATACATAATCTATTAGTTTACCCCAAAGAAACTGAAGCATTGAATTCAAACAGAATGAAGTCATCAGTAATAAAAAAAAGAAACTGATAAGGCAATATTAAAAAAAACCAACACAATTTTCCAAGATTTGCAGGGAAGATCATACATTGACTGTAAACTATTCTCCCATCTGCCTATAAATACATAATTAAAAAATATAGGTTTGATCAGATAGCAGTTCTCAGACAGGGAAATGGCAGATGAACACCAGTTCAAATATTTTGGCTGCAGGACTATTTATACTGAAAAGGAACCTGAACTTGCAGAAGAAATACAAAAACAATACTCCAATCAAAGTCAATTTATATTAGGAGACTTACTGAAGCTTTATACCAAGCCTAGTAAGTACAGCAGACAGATTGCTTCTACGGTAGCTTTACATTTAATGCAGTGCTCCCTCCTTAAGGAGATATAAATATTACAGCCCTCATCATATCTACAATTCTGTGCACAACTCACTCCCCTGACATGGCTCCCTGCACTGAATGATCTTCAGAGAACTGTGCAACCATCCCCTCCACCACGGCTCTAACATTTAAACTACCCATGGACTTCTCTGTTGTCACAAGGCTGTAAGAGAACTGTCCACTCTGCACTTTGCAATTAATTTCAGGCCAATTTCCCACAGTTGTGCTACATGTTAAGCAGAGTGATTCGGAAGAGGCAAATAAATAATGTCTAGGTGAGGAAAAAGTCTCCAGGAAACCTTACAAAGGGTTTAGCAAAGACTCAGATGCTGATTTCAAATGACAGTAACAAAACCTGTCCAAAATCCCAAGCCAAAAATCATCTTAAGAGAACTTCAACAGTTCTTTGAATAAGCTGCACATACTGCAAGGATTTTTCAGGGAAATATTAAAAAATAAATAATAATCTTATGTAACATTCAAAAGAGGTAAAATGAGCACATTCCCATCAGCCTTTCTGTAGCTCTGCTAGATACAATCCTTACAAATGAAAGCTTTCTTCTGCCCTAGGAGAAAGACGAAAAGAAATCTGGATGATTGTTCCATGCTCCTGGGGCTGTACTTCCAACAGATAAACACCAGAGATCACCATCTTTGTCCTGTGCCTGAATCTGTCAGAGGCACCTGACAGGTTCCACCTTGCCCACTGAAATTGTAAAGGGTCCTGCTATGAAACTCAATGAATACCGTTGGAACAGGCATCCCAAACCAAAAAGGAAACCACTATTTGGCACAGACTTGGCTTCAAGCTATCTCGAACAGTATGCAAAATATGACTGTGAAATTTGGTCCCAGCATCTCTGAAGAGATAGATGAACAAGCACCATAGCAAGAACATTATATGAAAGACAAGTCATTTTTTTCAAAGAATCAAAACATCATCATCGGTATGTAATACATATGGCTCATTTTTTGGCAATAAAATCTCCCCTCTGTTCCTCCTCTGAGTTGCTAACCTGGATTTCAATCCTTCAGATTAAAAATACCATTTTTTAAATTAGTGACTTCTTACTGCAGCTCTTCAGATAATACAAAATTAAAAACAAGTGCTCCATGTACACAGTAAGATAAACCACTTAAAGCTGTATATAAACATGCATTTAAAGAGGCAATAAACATTTTGTTTTCAGTGGTTTTCCTAAACACATTAATATTGCAGAGCTTTTTTGCCAGCCACTTCTTTCAAACGCTGATTTCACCCATCTGACTGTCAGCCTCTCAACAAACTGGCACTTCCAAGTGAAAATGAAATAAAAAAGAGGAAAGAAAGGAAAAGAAAAAGTGATTTTCTATTAACAAACAAATCCAAGACAAAATGTGTTTCACAGAGTCAAGAGAATGGACAATCTTCCATTCACAATCTGCTCTAAACAGAACTAATTTTATATACGGAAAGGAACATAGTGGTCTGCAAAGACATATAGCATAAGGGAGTCCGACAGAGCATGTAAGAGTATCTTTCACTTTCATTTTGAAGTT